TATTGGTCCCAAGCAAACGATTAACGTACCCCATTCTAGTCGAAATTCTAGTACTACGCAATGTTTGTTTTGATTCGCTATGAAAGTTTGACAGATAAAATGAGGGGTTATTGGTTTTTCTTATGTTTCGAGGGGTGAATCGATTAGCTTGGGACCGAAGAGAGTACCAGAGCTGAGCCAAAAAGTTGAGCACGTTATTTCGGGACCTTCTAGTCTTAGAGTTACCTCTATGGTTATAACATGTTATAGCGCTATCTTGATGGTCGTTTCTGTGTTGCAATTATTTGACAACCGTTATAACATGTTATAACTCTCCAGTCTGTACAGCGTTTTATTATAACATCGACTCTGGATACATGGATCTCGTTAACCAGGTAAATGCTTCAGTTGCTGCGTCGGCATCGGCATTTTCCGACCGAACTGCGATGCATCTGATAATCAAAGAAAAATCAACTCTCATTCCGTCTACCCATTCTCATATCTTACTATGGAAATGTCTACACTGGTTCGCAACTGTCGCAACAATTTCCGAGATTTGTGCTCTATAGAAAACTTGAAGTGATACACGGTGACCCCAAAATACCCAATAATGACTACAAAGTAAGCATTTTGGAGGGAAACTGGAACTAGAACACTGGAATAAGAGACCAACGGAGACACTGTTATGATTCCAATCGAACTGTCAAAAGCGGTTCCAATCTGCAATGTTTACAAATAGTTTGCTTCAATTAGGGAGGAGTATTAAAATCGTTTAACAATCGCTCATGAACTCGCTCGTCGGTGCATTTGCGAAGTCAATCGCAAGCAGTTACAAATGCAAGTGATGCCAGGATTGCTTTGATGTTTATCTTGTTGCCAAATTCATGTTTTTTTTCTCCGCTGGTCTCTTATTCCAGTGTTTCTAACTGGAGCTACCCATTAAATGAGTAAAATTTTGCCCATTTATGAGTAATTACAACTACACAAATGAGTAGTAAGTATTGATTTATGAGTAAGAAATATTAGTCCCAATTTCCCTCGAAAATGCTTACTTTGTAGTCAATATTGAGTAATTTATAGCCAATATTGGGTATTTTGCGGCTACCGTGTAGGGCAGCTTAGTCATCATGACGGCCATTTGTGGACTCTTCAAGGAATCACTTTAACTCTTTGGGACCCAAACCTATTTTTGCTACATCTTCGGAAAATTTTAAACGGATTTCTGGTGCTTTTGCCTTGTTGGAAAGGGTATCAGTTGTGTTGTGGTTCAACTGCATAGTCACATGGTGATTCATACCTTAAGTTCCGGATTAATTTCTGTCGAATCTGTGGACAAGCAATTTTAGCAAACTAGAACTGATTAATATCTCCAATAATATTTTTCCCTTAAAGCTTAAATCAAGAGCAAATTTTCATTATGTCGAAAGTAACATTCGCACTGATCCGAGAAAAAATAAAGTTTTGTATTGAAGACCGAAAAGTTATTCCTATTTCAAATTAAACACATATAATCTTTTAGTGATAGCAATGTTTAACATATTAAGCAGGAATTTAATCATACAAAGCAGATCGCTAGCTTTCATGCTAAAAAATACTGGTTTTTGAGTCAAAAGTTATTATACCCTTTAATGTTACTTAAGTCAAAGTGTATTTACCAGGATATTCGGGAGAATTATCAATTACGTCTCCTTACGTGTAGCCCATTCATCATGTTAGGACCACCGAAATATTCTTAGGAACAAACAGTTCGATTTATTCACTTTAATAATGAGAAAACGAAACGACGAACGTACACGGGTTTCTCTGCGATGTTGCTCAAGACAAACGGCATCTCCATAGAAATCGGGTGACTTAAGAAACATCGAAAAATATTTTGATAGGTGTTACATAATTCCCGGTCGGGTAGAGCCAAAACTACCATGAGCGGACAGAATCACAAACACTGAATAGCAAGTGCACAAACAAATCAAATAAACGCAAGAAAATCATCTTAACAGTCGTATATTCTTGCTCCCATTTTCCTGCGCTTCTCCTACTCCTCCTTCTCTCAACTATGAGACTCTCAAAGGTCTCCCTGCTACCTTTCTTTTCTACTCTACTGCTGATAATTTACATAAAGGTTTCACTACTCACTGATGGGCCCATCATTGTTGTTCGGCTGCTGCTGCTTATGGGTGCACCGGTGCTATCGATGTCGTTCGGAGGCATGCATTCTGTCGTCGGACATGGAGGCGCATCGCGTACTTGTCCCTTCATGCGAACACGCAATAGCCCGACCGAGCGGAGCGCCCGTCCGGTGATCTTCAACGATCCGGGTGTATGCGCTCGAGTTTTCCGCCTACTGCTTCTGCTATCGTTGGTAGCCGTTTCGACGTCTGATCCTCACTCAGATAGCACAGCCGGATTGCCTACGCCTATACACCGCTGCCTGCTTCGGCCGTCGCTGACCGCTCCTTGAGCTACTCTGTCGACCGGCCCGTCACCGCCTGACTTGGATGTCTCTCTTCGATCGTCAACCAGGACACTCGTATCGATCCCGACTGGCCGAAAGGTTGACCCTCGACTCCTGTCCTTGCTCGTATGCACAATCGTTTCAGCTCCTCCTTCCGTCACTGGTGTGCCAGCTTGTTTAGTGGGTGATCGTATCGGTCTGAAGGTTTCCCCGATCCTCTCCCGGTCGGCTAGCAACTGCCCGAATGTTGACCGTGCCCGCAGATGGTCTCGCTCCGCTTTTCGTCCCTCGCGTCGCACACCGGACACCGCCGCACTAAACGGAAAGATGAAAATCAAGAAGAAAGTGCCAAATCTGTTCGGAGCTAGAACGATTTGCCTTGTGTGCCCCTCTCTGGTTCGTTTTGTATCCTCAGACGGCGTGAAGGTGGATGCGGTGCAAATTATCTTCCACCAATCTACCGGAAGACAGTAACAAACGCTGTATTAGTCGGGCTATCCAGAGTGAGGCATATTTTACACTCACCGTGCACTTTTTCCCCGTGTGCGTCTGGGAAGGGGTCAAATCCAGCCGGTTGTGGGAGTTTTTCTTCCGTTGCTCCGTGCGAGTGCAGCACCTCGATCTGCATGGAAAATGCAAATGGGGTTATCATGACGCACATGCAGAAAATCATCTGCCATTACCTGATTCGTATCTCCAACGCCACACAGAGTTCGATCGGAACGGGTGTTATCTCGCAGCACTAGTTGTACGCCACCGAAATTTCTATCGTCGCTACCAGCGACTACCCGCGAGTTGCTTTTTTCACTCCTTTTTCTCCGCACCGGGAACTGTTTTCCGGACACCAGCAGCGATTTTTTTTTCCACGGACAACCAGCGAAAATGCGACTAATCGGCGGGAGCACCAAAACGACTTTGCCTCTCTGTGTACCTTTCCTTTTGTCTGCCTAGTTCCTCTTTTGGATTCAGCGGAAACTGAGCTGTATGGCATAGCATTGAGTCCGCTTTCAATCGGTGCACCCCTGCAGCATCTGTTTACGCTGTTCAGCCTACACTGAAAGCTTTTTCCTTCTACTTTTGCTTTATGTTTTATTAACTATATTGTTGACTAACGTTAACTTAACTAAACGTAACATAGGAAGGTGACCACGTCAAAAAGCAATTTGACTGGTAAATAAATTCAAAAATGGGATGTGATCCTATATTCGGACAGTATATAGTGTAATAGTAGGAGCATCGATTGACACTGATAGCTCGACTTTGTTTACCTTTGTTACTTTCGACTTAATGAAAATTTGCTCTTGAAATAATATTAAATAGAACGCATGTTCAAAACTAATAATTGCGCTGTTACAACATAATCGTGTAGGGGAAACGCTCCAATAGTTGCGGTCTGTTGCGGTATGTTAGAAGCGTTAGGTTCCTATAGTTGTGCATGGAGACTCAATACACAACTATAGGAACCTAACGCTTCTAACGTACCGTAACTGTAGGAGCGTTTACCCTAGCATATGTTCAGTTCGAAAATAAATAGAATCCTAGTAACCTAATTTTGAAAAAAAATGTCGACTTAGGCTGTGAACCATTTGCCGAGTTAAAATTAACTCGTGGTTAAAAGTGACATTTCGAAAGTTATTTTCTATGTTCGAAAATCCCCGTGTTGTCGATCGACCGGTTTTCGACCCACTGTTATAAAAATTTAACTTCTTGTCTGTCAGAAATAACCATGCTCGGATAGCAGGGTTCATCGATAACTTTCCATCTGTCAAATTTTAACCAAAAGTTAAAATAATCCACCATATGGTTCAGAGCCTTAATTTGTAGATTCTGTTCCGAAATTGCAAATAATGTTTGTCATAAAGATTATGGGTGTATCCACCTCGGAATAACCTAAAAAATGATAAACAGTTTGCACCACGATTATTCCATAGAAGTAGATTGTCCTTCAACTCATCATTCACCAATAAAACATCTGATTTTTATTATTCCTGATAACGAAGAGCTATCAGCTTCGAGGGGACTCCCACCTTTATATTCCTATTAATGATTTTATTTCATTGTTTTGACTAGAAGCGTAATAGCATTAGTTATACCTAAAAGGGCTAATGTTCTGTTCTTTTGTGGCTCAAAAATTCTGGCACATCGCACCCACGTTTTCTCCAACCAGTTTCTTGAAACGTGCGTCGTATCATATGTCTTTGTTATTAAAAACGGTCAGTTCAAGGTCGAGAATGTTTTCGTGTCGAAATTTGTCTCAGACAGCGACTGTGTCGTCCGCTTTGATTGGTAGTCAACGAAAGCATAAGCAACTAGTAAGACAACCAAGACGATGGATATTACCTCCTCTCCTTTATTTCCGATGTCCGCAAACACAACCACTTATGATTCATTAGGGCGTTATAAAAAATGAGCGCCGGCCGGCATTTAGGTCATTACAGGTGTGCGATGAACCGCTTGGACTCTCAGCTTTTGTGGGGAAAAGTCATCAGCTTCACATTTTTGGTCATTTGTGTCCCTATTGGAATTCATTAATTGATTTTGTTTACACCTGTTATTTTCTTCATTACAGCACTGAAATCAAGCCAACAAAAAAGCATGATCTGTTTGCAACATGCCGAGCCATCGAATGCTAGCCCAGTTCCACTTGATAGCAGTGTTTTTATGCATAGTCTTCTACTACTACCCTAAGGATAGACTATCATCTGTTCAACTACTCACTGAACAGTGCCAATATGAAACCGGAACGCTATGCCCGGAATGTTTCCCGGAACCAGTCAACTGCAGCTTCTTCGAAAACCACATCACCTTCGATGGATATGAACTGATGAGTGAGATTGTAAATCGATTCAACCAGCATGGCGTTCGCTTTGGTTTACTGAACGGTGAACGACGGGTTGTGATCAAAAATCTCAACAGAAATGGAGCTATTCAATCGCTTAGGGACTCAACATGTGAAGAACTCGGCATAGAGCAGGAAAATTGTCATTTGAGAAACAATGAACAATTTCTCCAATTACTGCGGCAACGGGTGCTGGATGAAGATCTCCTTGAAGGTGCCATAATTTGTCCACCAGGGGATGAGGGAGCTCTTGCACGGTTTGTGCAGAAATTTGATGCACCAGACCTGATGACACTGTTGTTGATGAGAACGAACGTTCAACCACTAGTGTTACGGGTAAATCTGTTTGATTTTTTGTTGATCTAACTTTAAAGTAACATGAAATTTTATTGAAGCTGTTGTCCCAACATAATCTACCGGTGCCAACGTTCATATTCCAAGGAGGATTCACATTGGTCGAAAGCTACGACGGTGAACCATTGGGTAATTTTTACGAAAGTCCATTGAACTTAAGACTGAAGATAGCAAACGAGTTAATTAAGGCAAGCATAAATTTCACTACAGGAGTTGATCATTTCAGGTAATTTATACTGTTAAAAAAATAAAGCCATGATTTAAACCTCTTAGTCTCTTTCAGATTCTACCTCACGGACATCAGTCCTGATAACATCGTCGTGAATGTTCTGCCTAACAACGAAGCGAAAGTTTCGTTTGTTGACATGAACAACGTAATTATTCTCGATAGTCACAGTAAAAGACTGGATCCTGACAAACGCACAACCTCGCATTCTCGAATCGATTGCGATGGCTGTTTTGCCTACGTCCAGGAAGATCTTTGTACCTATCATCATAGCGATATTAATTTGTTCGCAGTTTGTCAGGTACCTAATTGAATTCTCTTGCATTTTGTTACACCTGAAAACAATATTACTTTGCAGTTACTTCTGGAAAACCTGAACGGGAATAGAGATAAAGGTTTTCTCCACAACACAGAAAACGACTCAAAGCTTATACCTCTGAGAAAATTGCTGCACCATTGTGTGTACTGTCAACCACCCAACTGCAAAGATCGCCAAGGAGTTCTCGCGCAGATTCAGGAAATGATCCATACAATTTTGACTTAATGTTTATTTGTTGACAGTAAAATCGATCTCACCTAACGCTTTTTATTTGAATTTTGGTTGTGCCCCTTGAAATCATGTTCTTTTTCATCTTCGATTACCATCTCTTGCACTTGTGCTAGCTCCTCGCGCAACTCCTTCAGGTCACGCAAAGCTCGTTTGGTCAGCTGACCCTCCGGAGTTGTAGGATGCTCAAACAGTAGCATACTGATGGATTCCTTAAGACCAGTTTCCGCCTTGGCTAGATTTTCCTGAAAAAGATATTCAAGTTTCATTGGATTTTGATATCAGCTCGAGTCCATTACTAGCAAGGTCTTCGTGTTCACTTCCTTGGATTCGAAATTCTTCCTCGACAGATCCCACAATGCCACGTTGTATTCATACAGCGCGATTCCATTGAGACGGGAAATGCCCGGCTCCAGTATCCTCAGGACTTCCAGCATCTCTTCGCACAGTTCAAATTTACGTTGAAGAAGCTGCTTTGGCACGTTGGATGCATGGGAAGATAGGCAAAGATTCCGCAGCTCTCCGGCCAGGATTTGTTTGAGTTCCAAAACAACTGAATTTCTGGGATTCAGAGTTGTTGAGTGTTTGGCGATTATCCGTTCCAGTTCATCGATATCGACCGCTGAAATGAGAGATAATTAAATTATTTTAAAATGTTTGCAACATCCATGCTGCAGCAGTCACAGCGTTCAACTCTTTTGGATTAAGGCGCATGTCGGTAGATCTCCATTTCAACAGCTGGCAGAATACGGATGGATCATACCATTCGAACAGTTTAAAATTACGTATTCACGGCAAGTTCGAGTGGTAGAAAACGTAATTTTAAATTGTTCGAATGATATGATCCATCCGTATTCTGCCAGCTGTTGAGAGGTTTTTTTTATGGAAATCACGGTGATATGGTAATATGATTTCTTGTCTAATTTTGCTATTAAAACGCTTCCTAATGCAATTTGTAGCTTCATTCGTTCCGGAGATATAAACAAAAGAAAGTAGTGCTTTCTAAAAAATAACGAAAAATGGAAAATGCGCCCCTTGATTGAGGGGTGCTCCGATCAGCATACAACTTTGGATTATAAGAATTTGAATTTAAATGAACGTTCCTTCCAAATTTGGTCCAAATAAGAGGTCAATTGCATGTGCTGTACAGGTGGCGCGGAAATGACCCATATGCATTTCAATTTGGGATGACAATCATTCTACAGAGAGCATTACGTATTTAAAATGAGGTTCATTTCCTTCTCGTATCAATGTTCATCCCGTATTCGAGATGAGCATCATTTGATTACAAAACAACCGTCATCCGGTGGCAGCTATCATTTGAAGAAGTGATTTCGATATATAGGTTTAAATGGTCTGATGTTTCATTCGAACAGATGATTATGATTTGGTACAGTGCAAGGGAGCAAAATTTAAGAAATGGTTCATGTCTGATCTATTCTGGACAAATTATTTTTATCTAGATAAAAAATCCTATACACGGCCAATGAGATCAACCCAAATTTGAGTTCAGTTAACTCATAAATCGAAAAAGTGCAGGAATTCAGCGATGAGTAAATTTTCCTGAGTTTTCCAGGTTTTTAAACGAAAAAAATTCCCGAATATGAGAAAATTCAAGATTGGATTCCTAACCTTAAAATCTGCCAGAAAATGAAAAAAATTGACTAAAATTTTACTCAGTCTAGAAGTAGTACCAACCAATAGACTGATTGAATCCAATCTTTACTTTTCTAATATTCGGGAATTTACAACTGGAGGACAAACCTGGAAAAAAAACACTAGACAAATTTACTCATCGTGAGTTCCTGTACTTTTTATGATTTATGAGTAAACTAAACTAAAATTTGGATGTTCTCATTGGTCGTGCGCAAGTAACCGACAGAGCCAACATACACACTATTTCAAAACTACCCAAATTTGGATAGAATCCACCCAGAATTGTCAAAACTGAACCTACCCAAAAGTGGGTAAACTATGTTGGGAGTGACAAGTTGACAAATCAACAACGTCGATCGGATTCATGTCGATGTTGTTCATTAGTCAACTTGAAACTCCCAACACAGTTTACCCATTTTTGGGTAGGTTCAGTTTTGACAGATCTGGATGGATTCTACCCAAATTTGGGTAGTTTTGATAAAGCGTGTATGAATCATTAATGATTGGTTTGTTTCCGTGTACAACTCAAGCTGAACATTGCATTAGGGCCTAAGTAACATTGATCGATTCTCTTCGTCGACTTTCTCTTTCGTTAATAACATGAGCACATAACCTACTAGATGCTAGATGAAAGCTTCTTTTATCGATATGTGTGCTGAAAATACCTGGGAATGTCTTAAGATGGCCGTGGGATACAAAGAGAAAGTCCACGAAGAGAATCTGTTAATGTTACTTAGGACCTAATGCAATGTTCAGCTTGAACTGAGTAGAAGCGAGTCTCACTGTGTTATTCTCAGTGGCCGTATACCACTTTTTTTTTTCCTTTCTCGCATCTGGTTTCAGTCGTCCATACTTTTACTAGAAGGCTCTTGATGCTCATAGAGAAAACACGGACAAAAAGGCGATTCGTATGTATCGCTAATGATCATTAGCTTCTACTATACAATGCAGGAAAAATGTTACTTGATAACTGTTTCTTCAAAACTAGGTCGTTTTAAAATTAACCTTAATTTTTTGCCATTCATCTCGTGAATCAAACTCACGGGATGAAAAATAATCTAAATAATGAAAAACTGTCAAAGCCAGTGTTGCTAGAAATCACCTACACGCTATTTCAAAACTACCCTAATTTGGTTATAATCCACCCAGATCGGTCAAAGCTGAACCTACCCAAAAATGGGTAAACATGCATTTACCCTACCTTTGACATTTGATAACAGGGTAAACTTTACCCATTTTAATATAAATCAGTTCAAATGACCGCTACAGTAGCTGTATCAAACAACCTCACCCGACTAGCTCCCTTTGATTGTTGAGGTCGTATTGTTGGAAAAAATATATAACTATACGGAATTCGACATTGAAATATTGAGATTTGATTTTAAATGAGTTGTATAAATTAGGAACAACAACAAGCATTTGGCATCGAGAAAAATAACGCGGAATATCTCGATAACCTAGAATTAGGACAATGTTCAAAGTCCAGAAACTAACAATATACTTGCTAACTATAGCTGCTGGTAGCATTCACCATGAAATAAGTTCCATATATATAATTTTTTTAGCATCAGATTTATATATTTTGAGCATTAAAACTTTCACTGGCAGCGCAACAATCTCCCTTTTATACCTGCGCCATTTTTTACAAAGAGAAAATTTCTATTAGAACTATTTACCCAGAAGCTGGGTAGATTATACTCATCAGAACAAAACTAGTTTACCCAGATTTTGACAGCCCCTTACTGGATATAAGAATGGGTGCCATCCACCAAGTCACTGGGTAGATTCAGAATAGCGTGTAGGCATAAGCTGCCAAGGCAGTTTGTTTTGAATCCACTCCTCTCTTACACAGAAAAACAAAACTACCCACCGCTTGGGTTTTTTAAACTCAAATTTGAGTTATTTGACCTCTGCCCGTTTCATTTCCTCTCGCTATTGTTGTCAAAAATAGAACGAAAGATTCGACTCAACCGTCTAGTTCCGTACGAGAAGCCAAAATTGAGTAATATGCGATATACCCAAATTTGAGTTAATTGAACTTAATTTTGGGTAGAAAAAATTGAAAATAACTTAGCGATGGGTAATTTGTTTTGCCGTGCTTAAATGCAAACTACTTTGAGCCGGTTTACCCAAATTTGGCTTATCGTACGGAACATGGGAGATGAGTGAAAAGAACTTAATTTTGGGTTGTTTTGAATTTCTGTGTACACTAGACCCTCTCTATGAAAAACTCAGGCGTAACATTTTAAAACGGCACAAAAGCTTTTGTAAACCAACTTTTTAAGGCCCTTTACACGCGAACCGAAGTACGCTCATGAGCACTCATACATCTAGTTTTCAATGGAAATCCTATTTATTAGTGTTCATTGCAAGACAATATTACTTGCTATACACGCTTATTCTGGTCAACTCAAAATTGAGTCGAATGTACTCATCTCAGCGGCAAGTAGGGCTACTCAAAATTGAGTAGCCTTATGTTGACTCACTTTTGAGTAAACGACGTTCTCAAGCAGACTGATTAAAATCCACTCAGCGATATTTTCAGTTGCGGGGGGGGGGGGTTTTGTTTTGATTTTGTTTTGTTTTGGAAATGAAAATTGTCTGCTCCGGATTCATTATACCGGAGCAGAAAATGGTTCAACACCATTGCCCTAAGCAATTTCTTCTTACCTGAAGGAACTTTCGCTCATTTTGAGTGAAACATTAAGGCTCTGAACCATTTGGTGGATTATTTTAACTTTTGGTTAAAATTTGACAGATGGAAAGTTATCGATGAACCCTGCTATCCGAGCATGGTTATTTCTGACAGACAAGAAGTTAAATTTGACAACGGTGGGTCGAAAACCGGTCGATCGACAACACGGGGATTTTCGAACATAGAAAATAACTTTCGAAATGTCACTTTTAACCACAAGTTAATTTTAACTCGGCAAATGGTTCACAGCCTAACCCGTTTTCTAGGACGTTTCCTCCAACATGGTTGACATTTTTATCTTAGTCCAGGATTTTGCTGCCTGAGTGGCTTTTACTCAGTTTATCATTTCTCGTTTACTCAATTTTTGACAACTCAATACATCGGACGAAAGTGAGTACGATCGACTCACCCGGTGAGTAAACTGAAGTTAGCGTGTAAGCCATAGTCTGTACGGGTATTAGCACCGACAAACCGACATGAAACTAAGCTTAACTCTTGATCGAGAATCCATAACGGCATATTCAAATGTGCAGCGATCCCATCTGTCAAAACCATAGAAATTTTCTATTTACACGGATAGAAATCTCCTTATACTTTTTGGCAAATTTCTATTGCTGATTATTCATAAAACTGTATAAGTCAACTTATAAGCAGACGCCTTGCAAAAAGTTAATGAAGATCATGTGTCAAATGAAATGTATAAGCGGTCACACATACCTTTTATGCATTATTATAGGACCTATGTGGTTTGTCTTATGGAATGTATAAGGCTGATGTTTTGGCAAAAATGTATAAGTGAAACACATGAATAAAATAATTGATTTTCGTTTCGTGTAGATAAAAATAATTAGATTAGACACGAACCAACTCATACATTTTGCATGCGTGTTCGTGGCTAGGATACCTAATTTCCGCAAACACGGCCACTGATGTTAGTTTTGTGCTTTGATCTTCTGATTCTGATTTGATGGCATTCTGTATGGTCATTCATGTCGGTTTGTCGGTGGTATTAGAGCAACCGTACCAGTGAGAAAATAAGGTACATTTACCAACCTCTACCATAACGCTACTTGCTACTTGGAGTTCTCAAATTTAGCAACACGATAGCAACATAGAGGTAACTCTAAAGCTGAGTTTAGACAGGGTAAGTCAATTGATCAAGTCAGTTGAATTCAACTGACTTGAACGCGAATTGAACGTGTAAACCATGTCATTCAACTGACTTGATCAACTCACATGAATTAAAAAAAGTTGAACCAGGCTCAACTTTT